TTCAGTTTAGAAAATGCTGGTTTTTTTCAGTAGGACCATGAGAGGAACGTAAGTTCAGAAGATATTAAGACATTGGCCAAACCAAAGGGAAGGTTGATCCACTGCAGCATCCAGAGTCTAAAAAGTTAGGGGATCTGGAGAAAAAGCAAATATTTTCTTTGGATGGTATCAATGTTTTCCTACACGCTGAGGTCAGGAAATCTAGCTTTGAGTGAAAAGGGCAGTATAATAGTTCATCTGCAGAGCCTGCCTCAGGTTACCTGGTGAAGCAGCACGAGGTGTTTCCAATGAACCTGCACCTTCTGGGCATCGGTCAGAGATACGTGGGGTTTCTTGGGAAGCAGAACAGGATGGATTTAAATTTTGCCTCTTGCTAAATTGGTACTTGATCTTGTCCTGAGTAGTACAAGATGGCCAATTGCTCTGTGACCGAGAAAAAAGGGAACGAGTGGGCAAGTGTAATTGCAGCCTGACGGAGGCTTAGGGTCAGACCTGGAACATTAAATCAGTTTGAACTCCGCTACTGAATTACTGATGTTGCAGGTTGTCCTTGTTAACTTTTATTTTTAAAAAAGTAGTTATTTTCTACAGTGAGTTGGTGGTAGTGAAACCAAAGGTGCTTTTTTTAAAAAAAGAATAATCAGAACTTGAAATGTATGTGAGTACATCTATTGTGACAATTTTGATGGTAGGGAAATTCTGCTTTGCTACAATGCCACAAAAGAAGAAAAACAAGACCCCACTGCAGCCAGTGGTAATTCCAGTACAGCTAACGCAAACGTGTGCGAAGGACTGCGTATCCGTAGGGAGCTGCTGACAATTCGTTGCTGTGTTACTGCATGAGGGTGATCTGTAAAACTGTGGACAATTCCATAACATGCTGTATGCCAGTAATGGGTATTACTTCATTTCCCCCTTGGCGGATGTGTGAACATAATTGTACAAGGCTTTTGGGTATTTGCCTATTCTCTGTTCCTCTTCTATTTATAGTTTTCGTTACCTCTCGTTCCAGATTGGCTGATGATAGGACTCCTATAGCTGTGGAATAGCGTAATTTTTAATTTGCCATCCTTGCGACCAAGAGAGGCAAGAAGGTTTTAGATTCGACTGGCCTGGCTGGATGGCAATCTCAGGCATTGCAAGTAGTAGATAAAACAGTCCGTGTTTTAAAAGGCTATGTGTAACGTGGGAGCATGTGGATAAAAGCATTTTACAGCCATAGCATGCCCAGCACTTCCTGTGAGCATGTTGTCCAATGTAAAACATCAAGCTGCAAAGGATTACTGAATAATCTTTTTATTTTTCTGAGAAGGGAAACATGTTGAAAGTGTTCTCGCTCTGTTGAATTCAGGCCTAGATACGAGAGCAAAGTGAGGAAGAACACGTTTGACAAATGACTAGGGAGAAGGGAAATGTTCCGAAATGCTGCTGATGTTTGCTTTAGGAATAAGAGGGGTAAATTTGGGAGAAGAGTCAAGTGGTAAATGGGTGTGGGAGAGATCAGGGAATGTCTGAGGAAGAATCTGACTTGCAGACTGAATTTTGGGTTTTTTGCTGAGGTAATTTGTTGCTATATTAGTAATTTGCAGCTCTAATCTTTATGCAACACTTGTTTTTCTTGATGTCACCAGAATGAGATGCTGCAGGCTCAAAAGCAGTGTACTAGGTATGTCGAGGGAGTACCACTTGTATTTTATAGGTTATTTTTTTAATTGAATTTCCAGTTTGAAATTATAGCACAGTTCAAATAGAGCCTCACAGCAGTACCTCCATCTACTTTCCTCCATTCAGCAATCTTCATTTGAAAATCACCAAATGTCCCCTTGTTTTACAGAGGACAGCCCATGCCGGTTCTTTCCTCTAACCTAGAGCTCTCTCTCACCAACACAGCTCTGGTCTCAGGCGTCACTGGTATCAGGCACTGGGAGTGTGTTTTGGTCCCATCCCTCTCATTGTTCTGGTTCTTGAAAATGGTTCTTGAGAAACATTCATCTTTTTAAGGGTGTGTGAATACATACAGAGGTAGAAGTCACTTACTTTTATGTGCTGTTCTCCAAATTGTGGTGAGCATGCTGTCACCAGCACTGATGGGAAAAGATTTCCAGCTGCAAGGCATCTTTGAATAGATGGCAAATATAAATACTTGGACATGGATTTGGATTGAGTTTCTGAGTTTAGTGACATGTTGCTAAAAATCTTGTCTGAAGTTTGGTCTTGCAATGTAGCAACGGTTTGATTTATTTTTTTTCTGTGTAGCGTGCTGATTTTTGAGCTGTTCTTAAAAGCTGTTTTTAAAATTAATATTTGGTATTTTGAACATGCTGTATATATTGATCATCTATTAAATTCTTCTAGTGGATTAAAGTCAGTTATACATTAAATTAAATCTAATTGTTTAATGCATGTTTAAACTTTGTTGGCTTTTCTTAACTGTGCTTTTTTCCCCCACTTGTTACTTCAGATAGGCAACCAAATTCTCCCACAAGCTTTCCAGGTTTTCCTTTGTTGTTAGCTAAACCAGAGCAGGGATTGTGATTTGATTCCACCAAAGTTGGGGGCTAGCAACACTGGTATGGCAGAATACTCTTGTATCATACATCAGTGTATGAGGTAACCTGTAACAAGTATTTTGCAAAGGCTGAGCTACTGCAAATTATTTTGAGGATTCAGTGTTAAACAAGACGTCTAGGCATGTTGTCCAATTTTTTCATCACCTATGTTTCTAATATTTTCTATCTCTCAAGTTAATGGAAATATTTTAACCATAGTATGATGTTAAATTATTGTGGAAAAGACAAGCTGAAAATCAACCTTTGACCATAAAATGGAACTTTTCAAATGTATTGATAAATTAATATTTGTGTACAACTTTCTGATCCTGCTTTTAGTCGTAGATATGGTGTCTTTGTGCACCTCTTCTGCAAAATGTGCCTCTGAGTTTGGGAATGCATAAATGTTCTTGATGGGTTTGGCTGCTCTTGGTCTTGAAATTCCCAAGTGGTGATGCATGAAGTGTGGTAGGTGGCATGTAATTTCACAATGGTAGAGGAGGTATGCTACTTAGAACTTAAATTCTAGGTTGAAATTGCCCATATTAGGATTTTTATGTTGGCTTTTTTTTTTCTTTTTTTTTGGCTACAAACCCAATATTTAATAAGTTCCATACTTGAGAAGGACTTTTTTTTTTTTTCAGCCTTCAAAAACTATTTTAAGCATTAGTTGATGTATGGGAAGTAATTAGGTCATTGAAACGAGACTGGTAGTTTAAAGAATTTCTCTTAATGGGATGCAGAAGGTGAAGTGATACCTCTGGAAAGATTCTGTGAATCTTTAAAACTTTTTGGTGACTCAGAGAGGTGAACTTTTAAGAATAAAAGTATCTTTCTTTACAAAAATATTTGTCCAGTGTTTTTGTTTAAAATAAATGCTCTTGTGTTTGTTTAGCAGAGTTGATTCAGCTTTGGTTGGTTACCATAGTTCAGCACTGTTTTTGCATTTCCATGTGAATTTCTAGTAATTCCCAGGCTTGGTTCAGGTTGTGGGGATCTTGTTGTATTCTTTCTGTTAGCTGCCTGTGGAGCTGCGCTTCTCTTCGTTGAATTTGGAAAAACATCAAACACTACTTAAGTATTGAACTAATGTCCCTCATATGTCACTCACTGCTCAAAACTCGAATAGTATGTAGAAATGCAGTGGCTGTGGACAGAAACAAGAGATAAAAGGCTTTGCTTGTTTTAAATTAATTATCTGATGGATAGCTACTGTGGCAAAGTAACCTGATGGTATAAGCTAATCGCTGTTCAAAGACATTTTGAGAAATGAGAAAAAATATTTAGAATTCAAATATGCTGCAGTGATAGGGGCAGCAAGGACAGCTTGGTTGTGTTTCATAGCTGAGAGGTTACAGCGCACAGTTGTTTTGTGAAGCTGTAGCTGTGCAGTAGTTGGTTCTTGGTTTGTGTTGTCAGCAAAGTTGTTCTCTTACCTCTGGTTCCACGTTCGCTGGTTGCCTTTGCTAATACTTTCATTTTTCAGTCTCATCGTGAAAGCTGAAAGCAGTAACTGTGTGCCTGGAGTTCTTGAGGAGCTCTGTTAATCTTCTGTAGGATTTGGATTGGAAGACTAAAAGGCTGGGAGGATCAAATAGGTGTTGAGTTTTGGCCTGACCTTGACTTCTTTGTCTGAATTACTTCCTTTATCAGACTCGGTTACTTTGTTTGATCTGCTCCTCCCGTTTAAGCCCGGCTTTTGCCTTTTGCCACACCAGTTACGTAGATGCAGAGTCCCCACTTGTCAGCTGGATTGTTGCTGCCCAAAGAAAATGTTCTCTTAAGCAATAAAATTACAAATAAATCCAAATAAGTTTGGTTAGGAAATAATTTGGTAGCCTCATGTAACCAAGAGCAGTACTGTACTGGAAATACAGGCACTCTGGAGTACAGTGTTCATGAGTTAAGATAAAATAGCATGGGTGTTGTCTCTGCATAAGTTCACTTGGTTTCCATTTAAAAGTTGGTGGGCTTGGAGAAATGCAAGGCTGAGAAATAAATTCAGATCAGGGTATTGACAAATTTAAACCCTAATTTGGTACACTGGAGATGTTAATGAAGCTATTGATAAAACTTGGGTTTGTGTACCCTCGAACACTGTTGAAGTCATAAAAAAATCTGGATGTGGTGCCCACTGGAATCTTCTTTCGTTTTTCTTGCAGTTTCATATTTAAGGTATAGTGGAGCAGAAGGCACTGTTGACTGTTAGAAGTTAAATTTTTGGAATTGTGTGGACTACTTGGGTAGATAGAATGACTTTGAGTATGTTCCTTGGGAAAAAAATATTTTAAAGCGGTGTCATTCGATGGATGTTTAACTTGTATTCCATTTGATGGATGTTTAAGCTGTATTCCTGAAATAGGGTTTCTGGATAATGCCTGTGAATACTTAGAATAATTCTGACTTAAATTTGCACTTTTTTTTTTCTCCTTTCTTTCTTTACAGGAGAAAATGGCCAAAATGGAGGTCAAGACATCACTTTTAGATGACATGATAGGGGTGGGAGATATGGTTCTTTTAGAGCCACTTAATGAAGATTCATTCATCGATAATCTGAAAAAGCGCTTTGATCACGACGAAGTATATGTGAGTATGTGTTAACAAATAACATCCTATGAGGAGCTATGTTGTCATTCTTAAAATACGTGTTTATTTATACGGATACACATAGACTGAATGCCTGCACATAATCCATTGTATTAGGGATATTTTAAGCCTTACTTGTGCTATAGTCTTTCCTGTACCGCATTGTTTGCATTTGATCTTTTTCATCTGGGATATTGTTCCTTTTTCTTTTTTCCCATTGCACAACATGGTGGACGTCTGATTTACGTAAAGAACAGTTCCAGAACTGACAATGATGATGACAATAACTTTAATACTCCTGTTGTCAGAGGACGTTGCAGTTATAAATAATTCACTTCCAGGGAATCACTTCCAGGATGTTAGAGCAGGTTGATGTAGAAACAGTATATACTTGGAGTATGCTGGGGCTAGCTTAAATGTTGCCTGCTATCTTTGATTTGCAAAAAAGTTATGTTTATTAGAATGGTTGGATTTTAAACTAGAAACAATGAGCTTGGATGTATGTGGAAGTAATATAAATCTTCAGGCATATTAATCTTAATAGGAGAGATGTTGTGAACTGAGAGTTAAAACACATGCTGGGAATGAAGAGGCAAATTGTGATTCCAGTTAAGCTTTTAATTTCCTGCTTTATCTCTCTTTGTTCCATTTTTGTTAAAATGTGCACAGTGTTGTGTCTGTTTTACTGCTGAGGCTGTGGGAACTTAATGATTTGTAGAGACTTTCAAGACTGCTGGTGAAAGATAAGTCTTTTAAGAGTAAAGCTGAAATATTTAAGCCAAAGTATAGCTATGATCTGCAAGCAATTGTGTCTGCAGCTTATTACAATCAAATAGATGTGTTCTGTACTTAATTATAACTTAACCCTCCCCCCCTTTTAATTTTTAGTGTGACTATATTTTTCCTTCTTGTGGTTTCATTACACTTTTTCCTTTCCATCCTCCAGTATGGGAGGATGTGTGTTATTTTTGTTTGCTTTTTCTACCCCTTGGTTATAATCTGTGCTTTTGTACCTCTGCTATTCATTGTCTGACGCATCTTCTGGAGTCATTTTGCTGCTCAGCCATGCCTGTTCCCTTTTCTGTAGATGTTTACTGGGCAATATACAGTGGCTCCTATCTGCTATTTTATCACCTCCACCTACTTGCCCTTAAGTTTGGACTGACAATTTAAATTAACCAGAAAATTAAAGTAAGACAGGGACTCTATTCCCTCTTGATAATCCTTAGATGTTGATACAGACAGATAGATTTCAGACTTCTCTTTGATGCTCTTTATTCCTGCTTCTACAAGTCCTCCATACTCAACAGCTGCAGTGGCTGCCTCTGCTGGGATTCTGAGGTTTTTTTCAGTCAGTGGCTTGTATAATTCACCTGTGTCACAGCAGTTTTAGGGTTAACTCTATATTCTTAATATCTGTAGTAAAAGTGGGTGATACTGAATCATCTCATTCTACTTGAACCCAAGAAAATATGAAGGAGAAGAGACGGAAAGGGAGCTATTTACCGAGAGACTGAAGAAAACACTACTACCTTGCCTGATCTTTGGGTCCCATTTGAAAGTTTTATTTTGAAGCATTAAGGAGAGAAACTTATTCTGTGAGGGTACCCTAGACTATGCAGTCTCTTAAGAAGGATTGCTATAAGTCATTTGTGGTGGATTTCTGAAGACATTTTTCTTAATGTGTACTGCTATGGATTGCAAAGTGTTTAATTACGTGTTTCTACTTAATTTAGGCTGAATAGCCTTTTCCTGAAAGAAATCAGTTTGAATGACAAATGCTTAATCTGTTTTATTTTTATCTGCTATTACATGCTATCTGACAAGCACGTTCAAACACACAGTTCTTTGAGACAGTGGCAGAGAAGCATGTATTTCCCCCAGTTTTGGATTCTGCTGGGCCTGGCACTAATTGTGATGTAATTAGCTGTGTTATGTGCTTTGGCAGGTGATGCAAGGTGTCACTTTTCTCTAGCAGCGTAGGATCCTTTGCCTTGCAGGTGGGAAAGCCTAATACTTAAACATGTTCTGTTGAGAAGTATGAACTGCTGCCAAAACCGAAGGATTTTTTTTTTTCTTTCTCCTATTTTTCCCTGAATCATTCCCTTGTAGTTTGTTGCACTATCATTTACCCTTTTTATCTCCAGGGTTGTTTGATCATGTGATTTTTTTTTTTTTTTAAGGTCTTACAAGTACTGTGTGAATCCACTCTATGAAAATGTTGCAGGTCTTTGCAAATATTAAAACATTCACTACATCAGTGGAAAGAATAGATGTTTATGTCTGTGCCACATGCCTTTAGGAAGTATACAAGTTACAGAGTTTGTGATGTTGCAGGGTTTTATTTACCAAATCACTTAAGGAATAACATCTCTGTTCCACATCAGTTGAGTTCTGCGGCCCTGCAAATTTCATGCCACTGTTGCATACTTTAGAAAACTTTAGAAACAGTTAACAGTTGGAACGGTGCTCCTGGTAACCACCACAGTTAATTTTCAAGTGCAAACTCTTCTCTCCATTCTCCCCAAACCTCACTCATGAAAACTACATTTTGCGTTTCTGTTTTTAGACTCAGATGAACACAACGAAGCCTTTGTTACATCTGGAAATAATGTTTGTTTTACCATGTAAAATCCGTAGTTTGCATGCTGTCCTGGGGAAGCCAAATGGGACTGTTAAAGAGCTACTGTTGCTGCTTAAAAAAGCCGTGGATTTCTTCAGCTCTAACCCAGCTACACAAGCTGACCTCTCGGGATCCTTCCAGAGGGCAGTAGGAATGGATTTGTCCTTTCATGGCTCAGTTGTGGGGTCAAGTTTAGCCCTCATGTCAGTGCTCCATTGTAGGCATTACCAAAAGTTGTGTCCAACTTTAAAAAACTAAATCAAACTGAAGCCATATGAATGGATTGAAATGTTTCTACAGCAGTAAACCAGGGCTTACTGGACATCAATTTCTAAGCAGTTTTCTGTAGACTGACAGCTGTATCTGTGCTACATATGTTAGTTTTAAAACAGAGTTCCAGTCGTAATTTTCAAAAGGGTTTGTTGTGAGGAATGAGACCTATAACAGGGATAGCTTGGAAAATGCTGTAAAGTTGGCCAGACGTTGAATAATTGTGTTAGCCAGTCCTGGTAGGCAAATGTGACAGTTGGATCGAGCCATCAGTGAGGAGTGACAGATCTCTCCTTGTAGCCAAAGAACACAATATAAATGGGCACTGGGGAAGAGTACAATTTTTGTCTTTTCTAGTCTTTTGCACAGTAGTTATGTTTGATGCTGAGTGGTTGATGTTGGAGATCCTAATGCTAGCTTCATTTACCCCTTTGAAATTCCAGATGTTGTCCATGAGAGCCCCCCTTGCCAGAGCATTTGGATTTGGATCCCCTGATGGTTCTTTTGTACCACCCCAGGCATGGTCACTGTGTAAGCCCTTCAAGAAAATCATCGAAGTTTCACACCATGGCGCAAACAGGGCAATAAGAGTACACCCAACTCTAACTGAACAGACTGCAGCTTGATTACCTGTTGTTCCATTTTATGTGTATTTGATGGAAAGTTTAATGGACTTGGGTGTTAGGTTGCACGCTGGAGTGCAAAGCTGGAGGCTGTGCCTATAAAAATAAGCATGAAGGCCGGTGGAGCTGGAGTTTGGCCAAATATTCTACTAAAGACCATCAGATTCTGCAGTAATCTCATGCTGAGTGGCTTTGGGGGGAAGGGCTCATTGGGTAACACGCATGTGTTAATTGGAAATGGGAATCTTGGAGTTTAGTCATGTCTGGAAATGTGTGGGATATGTCTGACCAAGAGAAATCTCATTAAAAAGCTGTAATCGTTTATTATATTCTTTTTGCAACTCTTAAACTTTTCATTGATAAAATTTGCATCGCTTTTTCACAAAAGTTCTTTTTTGTAAATATTGGTAACAAAAGTCTGTGAGGGTTTTTCTTTAGCTTTATAGACCAAAATATGGTTTACGGAAAATGCAGTTTAGCAAGCAGAAAAAACCACAATGTTGATTATTTGAAGGTTCCAGGGAGCAGTTTGTGCGGTTAAAGTGTGTGACCTAGAGATCGCATGGAAAACTTCAAATACATTCATAAAATTCAGTTTTTATGACACTGATGAATTTTGACTCATTCTGTTGAACTCCCTGCCTGTGTTTTTGATTTATTTTTTTTTAATTGGCTGAAATATGCTCAGCCAATCCAGCTCAGCAATTATTTTTCCTTTGTATTTTGGGTTGCTGACAAGTGGGAGGGGGGCATCTGTCTGTGTGTGTATTGACAGTGACCCATGAATGGCAGAGATTTGGGATAGATTGTAGTTTGTGCATTGATCTGAAACTTATTTTTGTCCTGGGCTTGTTGCTTTGTGAGGCGTGTGGAAGTGGCAAGGGAGGTGTGAGGAGTCTGGAGCGGAGCGGTGCTGCGCAGGCTCACGGGAGTCAGCCTTTGCAGCCCAGATACCGCTTTATTCTGCTGCCCTGCACATTTTTCCCTGCAGTTATGTTGTTTCTTGAAGCCTTCCCAAATTTGCAGAGGTCAACATTTTGTTCCTTACAACAAAATGTTTGTTTGCTTTTTGTTCTTTCAACAGAACAGAATCTTTCTCTGATGTCAGCCTTTAATTTGTATTTTCTGTGCGTGGAGTTTGTGGGCTGCTTTGGGCAGGAACAGTCTTATGGTACTGAACACATGTTGTTTTATCAGTGAAACATTAAATATTTGGCATTCCAGTGTAATAACTCGGTGTTAGCTATTTGAGGCTATCCTTGTGGCTGCCTTCTGATGGCGTGGCTATTGCGGTGTGCTTGTTTCACAGACTGAGCTGCTTCCTGTTGATCTCTGTTGTATTGATATTTTATGTGTAGCCTTTTTGTTTCTGGCTTTACTTTACTCCACTATGTCTGTCTGTATTATTGATTTACCCCTTTTTCAGCTGCCATACAGTATTTAGGTGTTTACTGAACTGCTGAACAAGCACAGTGGCTTTGTTC